GATTGAAAATAAGAATCAAGAACTTTCCAGGAAAAGAAATGGGTTTCGGCATTTGGCTTCTACATTCAACTTTTGCTCTTTTTTTTTATCATCGAGTAAGATATACTTTTGTTTCAGTCAGACGAAAAAAAACTGAATTAAAGAATGTCTTTTTTTTCCCCAGTTAAGAAATTTGTCCAGAATCTTTTAATTTTTATTATTTTTAAATTATTTCAAATTCTACTGAGTTTCCGTTATTTTTTCTGGGTTCAGGCTTTTTTGTCAAATATAAATTCTTTTCAAAAATAGTGTTGTATTAATTCATTTACCAATCTCCTGAGAAATATGTAAAAGGTATGAAAACTATACAGGTCAAATAAAATAAAATGATGTTGTTGTTACTAATCCCCCTGGTGCAGGAAAGCCTACTCCAGGTGCAAATGACCCCATTACAGGTGACTTCCGTGGCTAAAGGTAATATGCAGCTTCACTTTTAGTGAGGAATCACGAGCACTGAAGACTTACTAAACCTCAAGACAACGCTCATATTAGAGAAGAATCTACGGTTTAAAGTGGATTTCGAACCATTACAAACATCCATGACACCGCCAGGACACGAACCTGAGACCTGTGGCTCCGAGTGCTAGTCACTCGGGCATTATCATGAATTAATGAATTAATATTTGAAAAAACTGTATTAACAACAATTGTCTTCCACAACAAATTTAAAAAAATGTATTTGAACTTGAGTGGATGAATAAAAAGTATTTTATGAACGATTGAAAATTTGAACAAGACCTATAAGTATATATAGGGAGAGTGTGACCTAATAGTAGGAATTTAAAAAGGTAAATGTCTAATTTATAAACATCTTCGTATTTAAATGAAGATAGGAATGAAACATTTGCCTTCATATTTACATATCAATTAAGTTATATAGACTGTGACTTCCATTTTTAACCTTATGGAGCCTTTATTCATTAATTAATACTGTTTGATGTTTAAAATTATTAAATTTGTTACCCTCAAAGGAAATGCATAATATTAATTAATTAATGTAGCATATTAAATGCTTCTATTTTAATTTATGCTTCTATGCGATGCCCTCCTATTCTTTTCTCATTCCAGCAGGTCGATATTCTTGAAATGTGGGTAAACATACCCTAATATTTAATCTCGGAAATTTCTCCCGTCTGTGTTTATCAATTTGCATTATCACTGACATCTAATTCCTTTCCAGTTTTATGGAAGTTCTTCTAATCATACTAATGATGTTCTCTGCAGTAAACGGAGGCACATACGACTGGGGAAACGGAAATCAAATTAAATCCGTTTCCGTTATAAGTAACCGGTGTAGTATTTAATACAAACTTTCTATAAAAGGCCATCCCCCAGTGTAAACACTTTTGACATCAAAGCCTCGCATTCAAAATCTTGCCTTTCCAACATTCATTTCGTCATTAACTCGCTTCACTTCACTTCTGCTTCAGTCCTGAAATACGCAAATATCCCTGCAGGAGTACCCATTCAATAGCCACTCCTGGCTCCAACTCAACTCCACTCCTTTTATGCAGCGAGTTTTCATTATAGGTAAAACGCAAACATGGCACCGAACGGAAAAATCTTTCGAAAACACGTGATCAGAGGTTGCTGTTGCCACTGATGAAGAGGCATTTTAAAACAAGAATCGTTTTCCGCAAATTAAGACAGCATAGCTGTTCTAAAACTGCCTCCCAAGAGAAGGGGTGTGGGGGGATGGAGATAGACTGCTTGATTGGAGATTCGTTCCCTTTTCCCCCTACTTTAGAAAATATTTCTATAATTAAATGGGTTTTCCATTTTGGTTTTCATCGCACGTTTAGTTTCTTCTTTTTTCTTTCTTTTTTTATTCGAATTCTCAATTGAGTGACTCGCCGGTAACTTCGGAAAATGTACTTTAGAAGAAGAAAAAGTAGATAAAAATTCTCATTACCTGAGTGGAGGTGGGTGCTATTTTTACTTTTTATTTTTTTTTTATCTGTGTGTGTTGCGCTTCAACAGCCTTTACGGAAAACTTTTATGTAAGGAATTCTCGAAGAACGAATGGACCTGTGCTGTAGTGATTGAAAATAAGAATCAAGAACTTTCCAGGAAAAGAAATGGGTTTCTGCATTTGGATTTCACATTTAACTTTTGCTCTTTTTTTTTAATCATCAAGTAAGATATACTTTTATTTCAGTCAGACAAAAAAAATTGAAATAAAGAAGGCCTTTTTTTCAGTTAAGAAATTTGTCAGGAATCTTCTAATTTTCATTATTTTTAAATTACTTCAAATTCTACTGGATTTTCGTTATTTTTTCTGGGTTTAAGTTTTTTTGTCAAGTATAACGATTCTTTTCATAGAATAGTGTTGTATTAGTTCATTTACCAAGCCCCTGAGAAATGAACTGAATGCATGAAAGCTATAATAGAAATAAAAATAAGGCCGAATAAAAAATAAAAAAAGGGTGTAGTGCGCATGCTGGACAACCAGATTGTAACTGGATATTTATCGGTTGAGAGTTCAGACACAGGTTGGAGAACTCACAGCTTTATTGACACACGCACAAACACCAGACACATATAATTAGCAGCGTACATTATTTAAAGCATTCAAAGACAGATAATTATTCGTTCGTGGAAGGACTCCACTTGTAAGCCACCTCGGCTACGCGCAGGGTGCGCTGAATATACTTCTTCTCCGGATGAGTGTCTGTACGCCAACAGACCATTTCTCCTGAATGCTATATGATGGGCGATCACTAACAAACATCTAGTTCGATGCGTAGGAGGAAACATGGTTATAATGTGATATTTAAACTAATTATTGGTCATAAATTACCGATAAATAAATAAATTATCATCGATCATTATCATTTATCGATTATCATAAATTATTGATCATTTTGTGACAATCTGAGAAATATTGCTCTTAAAAAATAAAATTAAATTATATTCTTGTTTTCAATTTGATTTTCATCTAATTTAGGTTTGCAATGATATTATAAATATTATTTCTTTTGATTTTCATCAAAAGATTTTACAATGTTAAGGGATTTGTCATCATATATTTGAATACGTATTTAAATATTACATATATTTGAATATGTAATTGAATATTATATATGCATTGGAATATTATATATATTTGAAATATATATGGAATATTATATATATATATGAATATGCATTGGAATATTATATATATTTGAATACATTTGAATATTATATATATGAATATGTATTTGAATATTATATACAGATCAAATAAAAAATAAAATAAAATAATGTAGTGTGCAGGTTGGGCAACCAGGTTGTAACTGTGTGAAATACTTGAGGCACAGGTTTCAGAACTCAAAGCTTTGTCGACACAACACTGAAAAAACACACATACAATTAGAGACCTACAATATTTAACACATTTAAAAACATATAATTATACATTCGAGGAAGAATTTCACTTCTAGACTGTAAGTCCGATATTCAGATATGCGCAGGGTCCGCGAAATATACTTCCTCTCCGGGGTAGAGTCTGTAGGCCAACTAGTACGGTCATGTAGTAATTATATTTCCTCTCGGGAGGAGGGACTTTAAACTAAACGTTTCTCAGCGGGCGAGCAGGTTGATGAAAAAATCAAACATAAAAAGATAATTATAGATTCGTGGAAGAACTTCGCTTCTAAGCCGAAAACCCGATACTCTGCTACGCGCAGGATGGGCTAAATATATTTTCTCTCGAGATGAGAGACTATATACTAAACTTTACTCAGCGGGATCACAGGTTGCACTGTACTTCCTCTCAGGTGAGAGTCTCGAGGTTTTCTGGCCATTTCTGCTGAACGCAGCAGGGGGAGCTCTTGTCAGTGGCTAGGAAGAAGCACGGTTACAAGGAATAATAATTATTACCAAATTCACTTCCCTAAGGCACAAACTTAACAACTATTTCTCCTGTTTTAACATATTTATAAATTTCGAGGATGTATTGAGAGCTTTCTAACAAAAATCTTGTAATTTCCAAAACTTCCCTCGTGTTAAGATCCCACTAGTAACTACACCAAATAATTTGGAAATGTGTCATTAATTTTTTCACCTTAATTAATTAATTTTTTTGCGAAATTAGTAATATTTTAATCTTTTGCTTAATATTATATATAATTGGTCCATTAATAAGAAACAAACGTAATTTTTAAAAAAGATAAAACAAATAAAAAAGAAATTGATAAAAAAAATGCCGGCTAATCAAAATTTAAAAAAAAAATTAATTTTCAAGTATTTACAAATTTTCAGAATAAATCTTTTTTAATTTATTGAGGAGAATTATAAGAAAACGCCATTCTACAAATCTCCTACTGCAAGAACTATTATTTTTGAAAAATAGCTTTTATTCAGACAATTATTTTCTAAATAATTATTATTATTTGGAGTTTAATTGATTTTCAATGTTTATTTGAACAAATGAATACGCCTTGTTTTTTATATTATGTTCTTCATGAAAGTCTACAAACTGTCTAGACTACTACTTCACACAAACTATCTTCATTGCCGGGCAAAATATGTACAAAAATTAGGTATCATATTTACAGACGGGTAAAGTTATAATTAGTAAAAATTAAAGAATAAAAGCACAAATAAAATATCTATCAGGATATATAACATAAGTTAAAAACCAAAGTTAAGGTTTTAATTAATTCTGATCATATTACAGACTTTAGAAAAATGTTAATTACTACCTAAATGCAAAAACATTTCAGGATAGTTTATGAAAAAATTTTAACACACTGTCCATCTTCATTTATTAGAAAAAAATTAATTCGGTCATTTTGATACTTCATTTTCAGAAATAAAAGGATAACATTAAAAGCCAAGGATATTTGATAAGATTCTTGATTTTTTGAATAATATTTGAAGAGACTTTAGATAATAATACGGAGCTAAAAAAATTATCATTTTCTCAATGTATATAGAGTGCAAACATCTTCTTTTAAATGCAATTTTACAATGCCAACGGCCATACCATGCTGAATATACCGGTTCTCGTTAGATCACCGAAGTCAAGCATCATTGGGCGCGGTCAGTACTTGGGAGGGTGACCACCTGGGAACACCGCGTGCCGTTGGCATTCACAAATTGGGGACCTGAATGGCCGAGTGTCTAGCGCTCTGGCGCTCGGTGGAACAGGTTTCGGGTTCGAATCCCGTCGGTACCATGGATGTCTGTAGTGGTTCGGAATCCACTTTAAGCCGCAGGTCCCGGTCTCCTATGACTGTAAGAGCGTCACGGAGCCAAAGTCAGACTTCTACCTACGGGTGCTCCATTACAACAGAAGCTGCTTCCTTCCCCTTCAATCATGTGTACGTATGGGCTCGTGGGCTTGACCAGCCCAGTAGGATAAGAAACAACAAACAACAACAACATAATTTTACAATAGATATTCCAGAAAGATATTTAAAATATCATCTTATTTTCTTTGTTGTTGTTTCTTATCCCACTTGGCAGGCAGCAACATCTAAACCAAGTCCAAGAACTCGTGTGGTCGCATGGAAGGAGGGAAAGGGGGGCAGCTTATGTTATGATGGAGCACCCGTAGGCAGAAGCCTGACTTGGCTCTAGGGGGAAAGGCTACATTTTAAAGGTACGGTTGTCAGTCCTACGCCTAATGCTCTACAGTCATATTAGAGTCCTGGTGACCAAGTGGCTAGCACTCTGGCCTTTGGTATAACATGCTTCAGGTTCGGCTCCTGGCGGTGGCAGGGATGTTTGTTAGTGATTCAGAAACCTCTTTAAACTGTAGGTCACGACCTCTTTAGCCCTTGTGTTCACAAGATGACCGTAGAGCGATAAACCAAACCTACAGTCATATTAGACTGTACCAAAGGGTTAAAGTGGATTTCAAACTGCTACAAACATCCATGGCACCACTCGAACTCGAAACCAAAACTTGTGGCACAGAGCGCTAGTCACTCGGCCATTAGGCCCTGATTTTCCTTTAAACACAAAATAGATTCAAAAACAAACGTTTTCAAAATACTTCTGAGAATTACTCTGAAATTCTCCAATATATGTCTAGTCCAATCACGGTAGTTTTGCTTTCTGCATAAATTCCAACATACAAGGAACATCACAAGGTTTACGAATTATTAAGCTTTTGTCAGGTAATATGGAATTAGAAATGTATTGCAGAAGGTAGAGGGACGCAACTGGCAACTGGCGTACCGATTACGGAGTACCAATGGGGAAAAACCCCTTAACCTCCACCTTTTAATATATATATTTAATCTCAATTAATAATTTGCAGCTTAAGTGTTAGTAAAGGTAATAAAATAGTTTTTCTAAAAAATTTTAAAATGGTACGCTGGAAAAATAAAAAATACTTAAAATATAAGTAAGATAAAAAAAAATTTTTTAATTAAAAATTCGGTACAATTAGGGAAAAAAATACGTTTTTATGAGTCTAGAATAATTATTGAACTCTTTATATCATTTCTTTTATATGTATTGTATTTATTATTTTTAATACATAAAAGATTTCTATAAAAGCTAACGTCCTATGGAGTAGTGGGGATTTGAACCCCGGACCTTTCACAAGCGAAGCGAACGCTTTACCACTGAGCTACATCTCCACAGAGGCTCAAGACGAATCCTAAAAGTAATAAGCAGATTTAAAACGTGAGTACAGGCTCGAAATCGAAGTGAACCCATTGCCACCAACGGACCTTTGGTAACACCACTATAGATTACACGTTTGCCAGAATTCTTAGTGACTTGCAGTGCAAATTGTAGCCTACTTCTGTTACCATAGGGCCAGTGTGCACATTATAATACTGTAGGATCGTTCTGTTTCAATAAATGTCTACACTATTCATTCATTGTTTTATTTCATTTCATCCACTACCCCTTAACTGTAACCTCGCTTACCCTGAAAATCTGTTCTCAGAGATGTTTTCACACATCAAGTCAACGGTTTTCAAGTCAACATTAAAAATAATTATGTAAGATTAAATTTAATTAAGACTGGTACTAAGTATCACACTATATTTAAAATAATCACTGTAAATAAATAATATAGGAATCATAAAATATTAAACTAACAAAATTTACAGAAACTTATTGCATAAAAGCATGCCAATTAAATATCACTTGAATTCGTTTAAAATGCTTTAACTTTGACTTGGAATATTATATTTTTTTAAATAAGATAATTTTATATATATATTTAATACTAAAACACTTTAATTTTATATTAGTGATTATAATCATTGAAATCATTAAGTTGTTGGTTTAAGAAATTAATTATTTTCATGTAAGGGAATAATTAAGAAAGAATAACATGAAAAACAAAAAATAGAAAGAAGAAACAATAAATAATAATAAACAATTATAATAATAGAAATTAAAATAATAAACAACAAACAATGTTATCCAAATATAAGCAACTCTTATTCATCATAAATTCTTAATAAAAAATAATAATTTCATTTAATTAGAAATAATTGGCTTCGATAACAAAGCAAGCAAACTATAATATATTCATATAAATAATTTGTATTTCTCAATAATATAATGTTTAATTTATAAGAAATACAAAAAAAACATTCATTCTTATATTTGTTTTATACAATCTCGATCTGAACATATTTAAATTATTTTACACAAAATAATTCCTTTACTTTTAGTATCTTTTTGTAAACAATCTTTTGAATAAGTAATCTTAAGCTTAGTTAATTCTGCATGATTAGATAGAGTCTCTCTTAAATAATTTATACCGCCCAAAGACTTTCTTCTCCCCCAATGATTCACCCTTGCACTTCTTTTATGCCACCAATTCTCTCGCCGACGTCGCCACATAAGTCATCAATGTCGCCAATCTCACCAAAGAGACCAAATTTATCACCAACTTCACTTAGTTTCTGTCACAGCAATTCACGGAATACGATATAGCATTGGTGTTTACTTAGCACGTTCATCTATCACTTCCGGGACATTCTGGGATGTCTTCATTTATTCTAGGTGATGATAAATTAAAAACAAAACCTAGCAAAATGTCCAAATAGAATTAATTATTTATGCGTTGTTGAAATTATTTATGCGTTATTGAAATTATTTATGCGTTATGCACCTTTATGTTTACTATCAAATACTATCATTTGATATTTGTATTTTAATTTTGAAAACATATTTTGTTTACTTAGCACTTTCATCTATCACTTCCAGAACATTCTGTAATGTCTTCATTTATTCTAGGTTATGATAAATTAAAAACAAAATGTTCAAATAGAATAATCATTTTATGCGTTATTGAATGGGCCTTTATGTTTACTATCAAATACTATCATTTGATATTTGTATTTTAATTTTGAAAACATATTTTGTTTACTTAGCACTTTCATCTATCACTTCCAGAACATTCTGTAATGTCTTCATTTATTCTAGGTTATGATAAATTAAAAACAAAATGTTCAAATAGAATTAATCATTTATACGTTATTGAATGGACCTTTATGTTTACTATCAAATACTATCATTTGATATTTGTATTTTAATTTTTGAAAACATATTTTGTTTACTTAGCACTTTCATCTATCACTTCCAGAACATTCTGTAATGTCTTCATTTATTCTAGGTTATGATAAATTACAAACAAAATGTTCAAATAGAATTAATCATTTATGCGTTATTGAATGGGCCTTTATGTTTACTATCAAATACTATCATTTGATATTTGTATTTTAATTTTGAAAACATATTTTGTTTGCTTAGCACTTTCATCTATCACTTCCAGAACATTCTGGAATGTCTTCAATTATTCTAGGTTATGATAAATTAAAAACAAAATGTTCAAATAGAATTAATCATTTATGCGTTATTGAATTTTTAATTTATGTTGACTATCAAATACTATCATTTGATATTTGTATTTTAATTTTGAAAACATATTTTGTTTACTTAGCACTTTCATCTATCACTTCCAGAACATTCTGTAATGTCTTCATTTATTCTAGGTTATGATAAATTAAAAACAAAATGTTCAAATAGAATTAATCATTTATGCGTTATTGAATGGGCCTTTATGTTTACTATCAAATACTATCATTTGATATTTGTATTTTAATTTTGAAAACATATTTTGTTTACTTAGCACTTTCATCTATCACTTCCAGAACATTCTGTAATGTCTTCATTTATTCTAGGTTATGATAAATTAAAAACAAAATGTTCAAATAGAATTAATCATTTATACGTTATTGAATGGGCCTTTATGTTTACTATCAAATACTATGTATTTTTAATTTTGAAAACATATTTTGTTTGCTTAGCATTTGATATTTGTATTTTTAATTTTGAAAACATATTTTGTTTGCTTAGCACTTTCATCTATCACTTCCAGAACATTCTGGAATGTCTTCAATTATTCTAGGTTATGATAAATTAAAAACAAAATGTTCAAATAGAATTAATCATTTATGCGTTATTGAATGGGCCTTTATGTTGACTATCAAATACTATCATTTGATATTTGTATTTTAATTTTGAAAACATATTTTGTTTACTTAGCACTTTCATCTATCACTTCCAGAACATTCTGTAATGTCTTCATTTATTCTAGGTTATGATAAATTAAAAACAAAATGTTCAAATAGAATTAATCATTTATGCGTTATTGAATGGGCCTTTATGTTTACTATCAAATACTATCATTTGATATTTGTATTTTAATTTTGAAAACATATTTTGTTTGCTTAGCACTTTCATCTATCACTTCCAGAACATTCTGAATGTCTTCATTTATTCTAGGTTATGATAAATTAAAAACAAAATGTTCAAATAGAATTAATCATTTATGCGTTATTGAATGGGCCTATATGTTTACTATCAAATACTATCATTTGATATTTGTATTTTAATTTTGAAAACATATTTTGTTTACTTAGCACTTTCATCTATCACTTCAGAACATTCTGTAATGTCTTCATTTATTCTAGGTTATGATAAATTAAAAACAAAATGTTCAAATAGAATTAATCATTTATGCGTTATTGAATGGGCCTATATGTTTTACTATCAAATACTATCATTTGATATTTGTATTTTAATTTTGAAAACATATTTTGTTTACT